GTGGATCTCCCTAACCCTGCATGGTAGAGTCAGTCGCTGCCGGCTAATAAAGGCTCATAATTAATCTCAATTGGTTCCGTGGGTCTTAGAATCGTTCGCACCATAACAATTTTTCTATTAGAAACACTAACAAGGCAAAGTCACACCTTCATCTCTGAGCTTGAGGTTAAAATAGTTAAATATCAGTGATATTTTTAAAATTTAAATCTGATCATGCGATTTGTCTATATAATATTTTTTTCTCTGTGGCTCCCTATGCCTTCTGGGACAAGGTCCCAAATCATTGGATGAGCTTTCCCAGTTATCTTATTATACAGGAGAGCATATGTTGCCCTAATTCAGGCTGCTTTTAGCTCAGGGTCTGCTTTTGTCTGAAATGCTTCTTTTCCTTTTATTTAACTAACTCCTATTCTTCTGGGAAAATTCAGATCAGAAGCTTCCTCCTCCTAGAAGTCTTTTTCAGTCATTCTGATCTGAGAAATGAGCCCCTATCTTAGCACTCTGCAGTTCCCTTTACTTCACAGACTACCTTGAGATGACTGACTGATGTGTCTGCTTCCCTAGGATGTTGTAAGCTTCTTGGTAGCTTAACTTTCACCTTATTGAATTTTATACTCCTTATACTGACAAGTGCATATAAATGAACTGAAAAATAAGAAAAGACTTACCACTGCATTAATCTCATATACAAAATTTACTCTTTGAGATTTAACTGAAAGAAAAACTATGATTGGAGAGGGGAGATAGAATGTTTGGAGAAGGCCACATAGTATAGAGATAAACAGAATGGAGTTAGCATATATAAGTTCAAATTTTGTTTCTGTGACATGGTATCTATTTGAAATAGAAAAGTTTCATAATTTTTTTTTTCATTCCTGAACTTTATCATCTTTAAAATAGATATGGCAATAGATTTCATTTGTTGTGTAAAAAATAAGTAAACTATTGAATGCAAAACACTTGTAAAAATGCTTGATGCTTAGTGAGCACTAATAAGTCAGCTATTATTATTTTTAGAATAGTACAAATAGTAGTAACAGCAGCAGTAGTAATTCAAGTGCTAACTTTAAATTTAAAAAAAAAGAGAGAAATAAAGTTTGGAGTTAGATTTGGCATTCATCTAAATTTATATTTTTCTCCTTACCTTCTCCATCTCAGCCTCTCATGAAAAAACACAATCATTCAAGCTTGGTTGAATTTGTGCTCCTTGGTTTCCCTGAAGGAGGACCTGTCACAGGCTGGCTTTTTGTCCTGTTGTTGGTGGCATACCTGTTCACTGTCTGTGGCAACATGCTCATCTTCTTAGTCATACGATTAGATGTAGCCCTACATACACCCATGTACCATTTTATCAGTATTCTCTCCTTCTTGGAGCTCTGGTATACAGCTACCATAATCCCGAAGATGCTAGCTAATCTTCTCAGTGAGAAGAAGACCATATCTTTTGCAGGATGCCTCCTTCAGACCTACTTCTTCCACTCCCTAGGAGCCTCTGAATGCTACCTTCTTACAGCCATGGCCTATGACCGATACCTGGCTATCTGCCGGCCCCTCCACTACCCTGCAATTATGACCCCAACACTCTGTGTGAAGATAGCTGCTGGTTGTTGGACTTGTGGTTTCCTGTGTCCCATTTCTGAAGTCATCCTGGTCTCCCAGCTCCTTTTCTGTGGCTACAATGAAATTGAACACATCTTCTGTGACTTTCCACCTCTGCTGACCCTGGCCTGCAAAGACACAACCACTAATGTCCTGGTGGACTTTACCATCAATGCCTTTATTATCCTTATTACCTTCCTTTTTATTATAGTTTCTTATGGAAGAATCATTTGGACCATACTGAAAATGAAAACAACAGCAGGAAGAAAGAAAGCCTTTTCTACATGTGGCTCACATCTCATTGTGATCCTCATCTTCTTTGGGAGCATTATCTTCATGTATGTGCGGTTAAAGAAGAGCTATTCACTGCCCATTGATCGGACACTTGCTGTAATCTACTCTGTATTAACACCACTAGTCAACCCCATTATCTACAGTCTCCGTAACAAGGAACTCATTAAGTCCATTAAGAGAATCATCTTCCAGAAAGGGAAGAGAGTTAGTGCAACTCACCATTGACCTCCTACCAACATCCTTCCTTGACTTCATTGTTGATCTCATAAATGTTCTACGTACCTTTTTTGTCCTGACCTTAAATAGTCACACATGCAATGGATCTCAAGTCTTATCTTTCAAAGACTTTTTTTTTTATTTATTTTGTTTTGTAAATCTTTGCTTTCCATTCTTTATTTTATTAGTGTTTTCTACACTTAATAATACACTAGTATCTCCATTATTATTATAATTTTATTAAATTTATTTGAGTGACATTGTTAATAAAATTAGTTTTCAAGTGTGCTGTTTTATAATACACCATATGTACATTACCTTGTGTGATCACCACCCAAAGTTAAATTTCCTTCCACAAAGGGGATCAAATATATGGTGACAGTAGTATATTCATTCTTAAAAAAAAGCATACAAAAGACCTAGCCACAGCTGTATGATTAGAAAAAAAATTATAGCCATCCACATTGGAAAGGAAGATGTAAAACTCTCATTATTTGCAGATGACATGATATTATATACAAAAAATTCTAAAGACTCCACCAAAAAATTATTAGAACTAATAAATAATTCAGTAAAATCACAGAATACCGAATCAATATACAAAAATATGTTGCATTTTTATACATGAATAATGAACAATAGAAGGGGAAATTAAAAAAATAATCCCATTTACAATTGCATTAAAAAACATAAAATAGCAAGAAATACATTTAATAAAAGAAATGAAAGACCTATACTCTGAAAGGTATAAGACATTGGAGAAAAAAAATTGAAGGAGATACAAATAAACGGAAAGATATATCTTGCTCATGGAGTGGAACAATTAATATTAAAAAGTTTTTACTATTTAATTCAATATACATATTTCATGCAATCCTTATTAAAATATCAATGGTATTCTTCTGAGTATTAGAACTAATCCTAAAATCTACATAGAATCACAAAATGGCTACATGAATAGCCAAAAAGCAATTTTAAGAAAGAAAAGTGGGAAATATCACTCTACCTGATATCAAACTAAACTACAAGCCTACAATAATCAGCATGATACTGGGATAAAATCAGATATATAGATTGATGCAATATAATAAAGAGCCCCAAAATAAAATTTTTGCTTATACAGCCAATTTACCCATGATGAAGAAAGGAAGACTCTACAATGGGGTAAAGGCAGTCTCATCAATAAGTGATATTGGAAAAATGGGATAGATACATGCAAAAAAAAAAAAAAATGAAGTAAAACCACTTTATTACACCACATACAAAAATAAACTCAAGTGGATCAAAGACTTTAAAGACCTGAAAAAAAAACTTCTAAAAGAAAACATAGGAAGTAAACTCCCTGGAATTGCGCTTAGTAATATTTTTTCTGATATGTTGCCTTAAACAACGGCAACAAAGGAAAAAATAAACATATGGGCTACTACCGTCATACTCTCCCAGATTGATCACCATGGAGTCCCAGGCGAATCTGAGCAAGCCCTACCAAAATTGTCACTAACACTGCCAGAAACTGAGACTGAGGGTAGCTAGCATGATTAAACATCTATAAGAAAATAAAAAGACATTTTTAAGGCTTTATATAAAGCAGGGATCCAAGAAGCTTAGATGCCATCTACTGGAAACCAAAAGAAAAGCGCCTTCTTTGTAGCAGGCTAAAGGGAGAACTTTATATAATAAATCTTCTTTCTGGATTGAAAAAAAAAAAAAAGCAGAATACACTTTCATTAATGCCTAGGCGGAGAAATAATCCATTAAACACCATGAACAACCAAGGTGACAAGGCATCTCAGAAAAAAAGAGAAATATCTCTAGAAAATAAGCTTACATACATAGAAATATGGAACTTAAATGACAGAATTCAAGATGGTATTTCTGAAAAAACTCAGTGAATTCTGCAATGAGTGATATCAATAATTTCAGGTATTGATGAAATACCTAGAGGAGCAGAGCAAGGAGATTGAAACCCTAAAAAGAACCAAATATAACTTCTGGAGATGAAGAACACACAGCAAGAGTTGAAAAATGAAATAACAAGCTTGGGAAATAGAGTCAACCAAATGGAGGAAAGGATCAGTAATATTGAAGACAGACATCTACAAATAAATCAGAAAGAAGAAGAGAGAAACTGAAGAATGAAAATAATGAAAGAGAAATTCAAGAACCAGCTGACAGCATCAGGAGAGGAGACATAAGAATAATGGGCATTATCGAAGGCGAGGAAAATGAGCAGGGACTAGAAAGCATTTTCAGACAAATAGTTGACAAGAATTTCCCAAATCTAAGGAATAAGCTGGAGCTTGGAATTCAAGAAGTCAACAGAACACCGAATTATCTCGACCCAAAAAGGCATTCACCAAGACATATTGTATTAAAATTATCAAAAATCAATGACAAAACAGAATTCTCAGTGCAGCCAGGGAGAAGAAAACAGTAACTTATAGCAGAAAACCCATTAGATTTTCCTCAGTCTTCTCAGCACAAGACAGAAAGGAATGGAATCAAATATTTAAACTATGAAGTGAAATGACATACCAATTAGAATAATGTATCCAGCTAAGCTCTTCTTTAGATATGAAGGAGAAATAAAGACCTTTCTAGACATACAAAAATTGAGAGAATTCTCCACTACGAGGCCTGCACTACAGGAAATACTGAAAGGGGTCAGCTAATCTAAAACAAAATAACAACAACAACAACAACAATAACAAAAACATAATTAGGAGTAGAGTGACTATCAGGCAAATAAAAGCAGAGGAGTGTAACCCTTACAGAGAATAGGCCATTAAGCTTAAATAATAAGAAGAGAATTACTTTAGCAAGATAGTAATGAACATTCAGTATACATAGGAACAAATTGAGATAACAATGACTAAAGAGGGGATGATTCAAAGATACAAATTCGCAAAGGAGAATGGAGATAAGGTACATGCAGAAGAAAATGGATGACTATATATACATCACGATCCTTTGCATACTCATAATGGTAACCACACGACAAAGATTCAGAACCAAAGTATATAACATAAAACAAGAAGGATCAGAGAGAAAACCCACAAAGCCAATCAAAATAAAGAAAACAGAAGCACAAGGACAAGGAAGCAATGGAAACACTGAGCTATCAGAAAGCAAAAGATAAAATGGCTATAAGAAGATATCATATTTCAATAATCACTCTAAATGCAAAAGGATTGAACTTACCAATAAAAGGTACAGAGTGGCAGAATGGATCAAAAAACAAAACCCAACCATATGCTGCCTCCAGGAGACATACCTCAGCTCCAAAGACAAATACAGACTCAAAGTGAATGGTTGGAAAATGATATTTTAAGCATATGTCATTCAGAGAAGCGTGGAAGTAGTGGTATTAATATCAGACAAAATAGACTTCAAAATAAAAAAGATAAAGGAAAATACTGAGGGACACTTCATAATGATAAAAAGAATCATGGACCAAGAAAACATAACACTTATTAATATCTATACTTCCAATTAGGGAGCCACAAAATATGTAAAGCAATTACTAACAGAACTAAAGGGAGAAACAGACCAAAACACTATTGTAGTAGGGGACCTAAATACCCCACTGTCGGACATGGAAAGATTATTCAAACAGAAAATCAATAAGAGAATACCATTCTTAAATGACACATTAGACCAACTGGAAATAATTAACATTTACAGAGCCTTCCATCCCAAAACGGCTACTTATACATTCTTCTCTACTTCACATGGAACATTCTCAAGAATCAACCACATACTAGAACACAGAGATAGCATAAACAAGTATAAGAGGGTTGAAATCATACCAACCATATTCTCTGATCATAATGCTTTGAAAGTAGAGATCAAATGCAGAAAGAAATCAGGAAGAACCACAAATACATGGAGTTTAAATACCATGGTACTGATGAATAACTAGATCTGAAAAGAAATAAAAAGAGATCAAGAGATATACAGAAACAAAAGATAATGATAGTAAAACATATTAATACTTTTGGACACGGCAAAAGTGGTCATAAGTGGAAAGGTCATATTATTACAGGCCTATCTCCAAAAATAAGAATGAGCCCAAATAAACAACCTAACATTTCATCTTAAAAAACTAGAAAAGGAAGAACAAATGAAGCCTAAAGTCAGCAGAAGGAAAGAAATCATCAAAATTAGAACAGAAATAAAATAAATCAAAAAAAAAAATAGAAAAAATAAATGCAACAAAGAGCTGGTTCTTTGAGAAGATTAATAAAATTGACGAACCCCTGGCTAGACTCACTAAAAAAAAAGAGAGAAAGGACACAAATAAAATCAGAGATGAAAGAGGGGAAATTATGATTGATATTGCAGAAATACAAAGGATCATACAAGAATACTATGAAAAAGTATATAACTCCAAATTTAATAACCTAGAAGAAATGGACCGGTACTTTGAACAATACAAACTTCCTAGACTGAATCAAAAAGAACTGGAAAATCTAAATAGGCTGATCAGCAGTATGGAAATTGAAACAATCATGAAAAACTACCAAAAAGTAAAAGTCCAGGACCAGATTGCTTCACTGGTGAAGCAATTCTACCAAACATTCAAAGAAGATTTAAGACCTATTCTCCTCAAACTCTTCCAAAAAGTTGAAGAGGTGACAATACTTCCAAGCTCATTTTATAAGGACCATATTATCCTGTTACCAAAACCTGGTAAAGATAACACACAAAAAGAAAACTACAGACCAATATCTCTGATGAGCACAGAGGCAAAAATTTAGTGAAGTGAATACAGCAACGTATTAAAAAGATTATACACCACGATCAAGTGGGCTTCATCACAGAGGCACAGGGATGGTTCAAAATACTCAAATCGATTAATGTGATACACCACATAAACAAATTAAAAAAATAAGAAACATATGATCATATCAATAGTTGCAGAAAAAGCCTTTGACAAGATACAGCATCCATTTATGATAAAAACACTTAACAAAATTGGTATAGAAGAAAAGTACTTTAACATAATA